GTCCAAGTCGCTGATGAAGATATTGAAGAGTATCAGTCCAAGGACTGAGCCCTGCGGGACCCCACTGCCCACACCCTTCCAGGTCGATACCGACCTATCCACTATGACTCTCTGGGTGCGACCGTCTAGCCAAATCGCCACCCACCGGACCGTGTAATCATCCAAGTCACAGCCTCTTAACTTGTTCACCAGTATGGTGCGGGATACCGTATCGAAGGCCTTCCTGAAGTCTAAGTATACGACATCAACCCCTACTCCTGCGTCCAGGCATTTTGTAACCTGGTCATAAAAAGAGACTAGATTAATCAGGCATGATCTACCTGCTACGAACCCGTGCTAGTTCCCCCTCAGCATAATTTGTCCTGCCAGGCTCTCGCAAATGTGAGCCTTAATTATTTTTTCGAAGACTTTGCCTAGGATGGAGGTGAGACTGACTGGCCTATAGTTGCCTGGATCCTCCTTCCTCTCCTTCTTGAAAATGGGGACCACATTGGCCCTTTTCCAGTCCTCCGGGACCTGGCCCATGCGCCATGAGCGTTCAAATATTCCCACCAGTGGCTGGGCAATGACGTCAGCCAGTGCCTTCAGTACCCTCGGATGGAGCTCATCCGGGCCTGCTGACTTAAAGGCATCCAGTTCCTCCAAGTGCCTCTGCACCATCTCAGGGTCTACGCATGGCAGTCTGGTGCCTTGCTGCTGCCTCTCTACAATCCCAGTGAGAGACTTGTCCTGCCCCTCACTTAGGAACACTGAGGCAAAGAACTCATTGAGGAGTTCAGCCTTGTCCCCCTGTCCATCACCAATTGCTTCTGCCCATTTAGTAGGGGTCCTATTCCCCCCTGGGCCTTCCTTTTCCTCCCTATGTATCCAAAAAACAATATTTTGTTATCCTTTACTTGGGATGCCATCCTCAGCTCCATAGTAGCTTTGGCCTGTCTAACTGCCTCCCTACAAGTGCGAGCAGAGGAGGTATACTCCTCTTTGGTAATCTCTCCCCGTTTCCACTTTTTATATGCTCCCCTTTTAGTCCGCAGGCTGCCCTGGATTTCTCTGGTCAGCCAAGGAAGCCTCCTGGCCCCTTTCCCTCTTTTTCCTCGCATCGGGATCGTCTCCCTCTGTGCCCGAAGGATCATTTCCTTAAGGCACAGCCACCCTTCCTGGGCTCCCATCTCTTCAAAACTCTTACTCTGCAGTGCGTCCTTGACTAATCTCCTGAGTTCATTGAAATCAGCTTTCCTAAAGTCTAGCACTTTCACCCTACTAGTTATGCTAGTATAATACGCTTCTCTGTAATTCAGCTGTAGATGTAAGAGAAAGCCCAGCTAATGCCTTCCGGGAAGAGAATCCCTCTGTCAGAGTAAAGGGTGGGGCAATTCAAAGGCCATTTGGAGGCTTGCATGCCAGAGCATCCTCCTTTTCCTCAACACAAGGCACCATTAACAGTTGTATGAGAGGTGTGTCTGTGACTTGTGTCCCACCCTTCCTCTTAACCTACAGGAGCCCTGAACTCTTCTTGGCCAGCTGCCTCTATACAAGCCTTAGCTTTTCCTCTGATGATGAGCCTTTGTGGCTTGGCAGCCCTTTTAGGAGATGGAGGGTGTGTCCCTTCTCTATTTCTACTCTCTCTGAGCTTCCAATGATAGTTTTGTGCTCTCTTGCATTTCATTTCCCTGCCCTAGGCAACCTCTCAGACACGATGCACAGAAAATCTCCTTAAACGCTGCCTGGAGCAGTCCTGTCTTGTGCTATGATTCCATTAGCTGGTTGGGTGATCTCTGTAGAAACCTAAGGGCAGCAAGAACTGGTACAGGTGACACAGCAGTGGACCAGTATCACTGCCTGGTGGTAATGGGATTGCCAATGTTGATGAATGGTCTGGCATTTCCCCTTTGTCATACAGGCAGGTTAAGACACTCGATGCCTCCAGTAAAAGAAATCAAAGGGGCCTAGCTGTGTAACAGAATCTGTTGCTTTTCACTTTTTAGTTCAAATCCAATCTGGATCTGTTAGACAGGGGCCTGGCCTTGAATGACCCAGTACAGATCCAATAAGGCAGTTCCAGTGTCCTGACCATGTTGCTAGGACTCCCAATTCTCAAAGACTTCTTTTGTTTCCTGTTTGCTGAGTACATTATACTGAGGATGGGAAAGAACAATAGAGCTAAGACCCAATTCATATCAGCCCCTTCCTCAAAGCCAACATGTGGCTTAACTGTTGGCTCTGGAGCTCTGTCAGAACTTAAAGTAAGACCTGAATGCATGCAATGGACTTTATTTCCAACTCTACCTTTGTTTGGACATGTCCTATTGCCACTGCATCTTGCCTGCCGTTGAAACAAGGGCTCTCTCCCCCAGAGGCAGAGCCTGTGAGCTGCTTGCTCTCTCTCTCTCTCCATTCTCGGACACCATCTTTTCCTTTTCACACTCATAGCCAAGGGATGACTCTAGCTCCTTGCAGCTGGGAAGGTGATGCTGGGTGACCCCCCCC